GCCCCGCACTGTCGTGTGGACGCGGCCCCGCAGCCCTGAGAGCCTCCGGCCGGTGCGGCCCCTTCCTCCCTCCCTCCCTGCCTCCCGGCCGGACTCTGCCCTGCCAGGGTCTGCAGGAGTCCACAAGTGCTGCGTCTAGGGACAGGTGCGGTCGTTGTTAGCCTCCTGCCTGCAAGTAACACCTCCTTCCCACCGCAAAATAGCTTTCTAGCGTCGCCTCGTATCTACTCTACCTCGAATTTCTCTAGTTGCCTTCAGTGTTGTGTGTATGTGTGTGTGTGCTATTTTCTCATCCCAGAATCCAGACAAACGCATCATTTAATTTCATTTTGGTTTCTACTTCAATCTCGAATAGCTTGACAGCTTTTTAAAGTGATACCCATTTTTGTGAAGAGACCAGATTTACTGTTTTATAGAATGTCTCGTGCACTGGGTTTGTTTTCAGTGTTATTCTTGTATATATACTGAAGACAGATTGTATGCAAAAGTCATTTCAAATACTTTTCAAAATGTGTGAGAGTGATACAGATTTAATATTTGGTGAGATTAATTTGTTTAGTTAATTTTCAATTTGTAGATTTGCTTGTTTCCCACCTGATTAAAATTATTATTTTTATTGCTATAAATTTTCTTTTGTATATTTTCATAGTTGCAGGAACCGTTTTCATTATTTATTATTTTAATAAGTTTTTTTTACTTTTATTAGTACATGTTTATAGTTTATAATGATCACATTTATTGTAGGGAATTAATACATGTGCATAACACATTAGAATCCCGTTTGCTTTCCCTTGACTTCCCCTTTACTTTTCCAGCATCAGATTCATTTATTCATCTTATAAAACTTTATAAACTTAATTATATATGCAAATTGAAGACAAGACTAATAGGCCAAAGACATATAAAATATGTAAGAAAATTATACCAAGTCAAATACACTTAGAGACACATTGTCTGTGCTGGATTATGATACCTTTTTTTCTCTCTTTTCCTAATAGCTATCTTTGATCTATCTATCAAAAATTTTTTGTATAAGAGAAATCGTGTGATATTTAAGCTTGTGTATCTGAGTTACTTTACTTAACATTATGCTCTCAAGGTGCATCTATTTTCCTATAAACGACTCAAGCCAGCCCTTCTTTATGGCAGAGGAGTAATCCTTTGTGTATAAATGTCACATTTTGTAATCCATTCACCTGTTGATGGACATGTAGGCTATTTCCAAGATGTAGCTATTATGATTTGTATGCATGTGTCACTGTAATAGGATGTCTTTGACTCTTTTGGGAGGATCCTAGAAGGGAAATAGTTGGTCCACTGGAATTTCTAATTTTAATTTTTGAGTAATCTCCATACTGATTTTCATTGTGGTTGTATCAGTCTACATGCCTACCACCAATGGAGAAAGATTCTTTTCTCCCCACAGCCTTCCCAGAATTTATTATTGGTTGATTTCTTGATGTCAGCCATTCTTTCTGGAGTGAGATGGAATCTGTGTTTTTTAAATTTGCATTTCTCAAATGGCCAGCGATGTTGAACATTTTTCATGTCTTTCCTGGCTGTTTGTATTTTTACATCTGAAAAACATCTCTTCATTTCAGACACCCATTTTTAAGTTGGGTCTTTAAATTTGGGGGTTCTAATTTTTTTGAGTGCTAGATATATTCTGGTAATTAGTCTTTGGAGGGGTAACGCAAATTCTTTTCGTATTCTG